GGAGGGAAGAGGAGGACTGGCAAAGTGAGTTAGCACCTAGACAGACATTGGTATTGGATGTCCCTAACAGTAAGAGATAATAGCCACTGTGCATGAGAAGAGACTCTGGAAGCATTCTTGACCTCGTCACGAGGGTCCAGAGAGAATAGAGGGAATGCGGGAAACAAAGCAAAGAAGGTGAGATGAGGGTAAATAGGTTAGACATTCTCTACTGAAAGACATCTGGTGTTTCTGGGTCAAAATGTGTTTATTTTGTTTTGAATAAAAAAGCTATCCAAACCTTATGAGTCATATGGAAAATTGTTAATCTTCAAATGTCAAATAATAAATTAACTATTATAAATGATTTTTTTTTTTTTTTGGAATGCTGGATTTAATTTCACTAACTGAACTCAAGAAATCACATAAACAGAACCTTTCTGTAGTCACTGCAGACTTTTGGAAAATATTTGGAAAACTGACACAAACACACACAAAAACAAACATATTTTTACCCATGGGTAAGTCTTTTGAGTTTTTTTTTTTTTTTTTTTTCTTGTAGTTTCGGGAACTGATGGTCTGATGGGACAACCTTGCTTCCCTGTGGTACTACCGTGACATCTGCCGCACTCCTTCTGAGCATTGTGCTAAGACCGCAAGAAGTTAAACAAAGTTTAGATGTAAATAATATTGAGAAATTCCATATTGGATGACCTTTACATCATTTTTTTCCCAGTAAATACTTCAAAACATGGACAGATGTACTTTTATTCTTTTTAGGATTCTCTATGATTCAAGTGTTATTGGTTGAAACAAGATAGGAAAAGCACATGTGCTGATTTTTAGCAATTAAGATATGATGAAAAGAGACATGCCAAAGAAATGACTGAAGGGAAAAATTCTTTTGTGAATTTTTGCCAAGCATGTGGGGCTCAGAAGTCAGTGGAGAAATGCATAAATTTTAAGCCTAATGTCCTTTAATTGGCAGTGTGTCTGTGGGGAATGTTTTAAACCATTCTTTTAGAGACCTTTGACAAAACCCATCAATCATTTTTCTTTAAACCAAAATGAGAATAGAGTTACATTTGAAAAAAGAATTTGCTTTCAGCATGAGCACACCTGCTGGTGCCTTCTGACAGGAGCTTGGCTTTGACTTTAACACCATATGTATGGCAGAGATGTGAGCTTAGGTTATACTTGTACATGCTGCAATAGTGCATTATATATATATATATATATATATATATATATATATATATATATATATATATATATATAATATATTTAATGACATCAGCAATGTTGTATGAGCAGTTAAATTTGCACATAAAATGTTGTTTTTTGTGTGTTTTATGGTAGCATTGTGAAAATAATTATGTTCAACTATGTCAATACAAAACATAATTGGTGTGAAAGTTAGAAATGATTTTATTTTAGTGTTGTCTGCATCTCATGTCTCAGTCTTACCTCAGTTATTCAGTTGTGTGTATAATAAATATGTATCGACTGCAGCCCCATAACACCATGAACAACATAAGGGATGGGTTGTATTCTTGTGTGAGTCATATTGGCACCAACCGTACTGCCTGTACAGACCTTATGTCTGAACAGGTGAATCCATTTTAGATGCTTCTTACATCTTTTTTTCCAATGAATATATCAGACATGATTTAATCCTTTTCACCCTGAAGGTTTCTCATAATTTGAACTGCCACTGCACTTATCTTGATTAAACCAAGGTGAGTGTTGAATGTGGGATTTCCAGCAACGTTAGAAATATTTGGATGTGTAAAATCTTATAAACTAAAACTTACATTCTTAATCTGAGAACTAACAAAATGCTATAAATGCTTTTCTGGAAATAAAAAAAATATCTAGTTTAAACATAGTTACATATTAGTTTTTAGGAGACAACCTGTTCTAATTTGGGACATACTATGTATAGAAATCATTGTATCACTATTCGTCAAATAGGTAAAAATGTGGCAGGATTAATAACCAATTTCTATTTACATGATATTGCTGTTTTCTTAGGAGTCTCCAAAATGAGTCGAGTATTGTGGAAATATGGATGCATGGATGGATGGATGGACAGTTTACATTTTACATGACATCTTAAGGACTTTTGCACGTAACTTGGTTTTTGTCCCCTTTCAAATAAGTCTGTATTTAATTACAGCTAGAAGTAAATGAAACCTTTTATCTGTTTCATTCTTACTTTTCCTTTAAATTTGAACATGATGTTTATTTTCAAATGTGCCAGCACATTTAGGAGATAGCATACAATTGAGTGGTGAGGCAACGTAAACATACTTTGGGTCCTATTATTTGCAGTGATGACACAGGGAATACTTGAGTGTTGAAAGAAGGGAGTCTCATTTATTTTACAAAATTCCAAAGAAGAAGAATTCTTCAACAAAACCTATGAGATAAGAAAAAAGTATTCAAAAAATATCCATCCCACTGAAATAGACCCAGTTTTTTTTTTACTGCATATGTGACCTTGGTGGAGGAGAGTCTCGCGAAAAACATTTTTTAAAAGAACTGTTTTGTTGGACTCATTTGGATGAAGTTGAAAATGTTCGATGATTCACTGATTGCACAGGAAAAATGTGCAACAGCCATTGATTATTCCACTGAAATGACACACAGAGACAAAAATGTCCTAGTTGAATGAAAAACTAGCATCTTACTCATCTGGCTTCTTCTTTATTATCTGACTCAACTATGTGTTTTTTATTTTCCAAAAAACAATTGCTTTATTCCTACTAAATAAAACCCAAGGTGTTTGGCAGTTCGGAAATAGAAATTACAAACAGCTGGATTTGTTTCTATCTGTAGTTATTATGCTGCATGCATAATAGTTCTATGTATAATTAGAACATTTAAGAAACCATTAAAGGATTTGTGAGCACAGTTCAAAGCATAGAAGCATGTTGTGCTCTTTATGATTAAGGGGAACAATGACGAAGGATATATGTTAGTTACACCTCATTACACCCTAGCAACTCTGTTGATCACTTGTGGTCCCTACAAACTATATTTTTTCTTCATCTGAGATGGTCCTCATGCTTAGTCACAGCTTGGAAGAATGATGGGTGGAGACTGTGCCTCCTTTGACAAATGAAAGAAGTACAGCTAGTGCATGGAACATCTTCTATGCTGCTACTATTCAGTCCTTAGGAATAACCTTCAGGTTGCAAGTTTAGGGTCAAGACAAAGGCAGCTAACATCTCTACAAACCCCACACATCCTGGACACAAACTGTTTAGACTTTTACCTTCAGGTCGGGATTATTTGCAAAAGCAAACTGCTCCAGAGAGATTCTTTTGTCTCCGTTGAGACAAAAGAATCTCAACGGATTCAGTGTTCAACTGGAGATGGGAACTCCAGTTGAACACTAACTGGAGTTCCCATCTATTCTGTTGGGAGTTCACAACATAAATTTTTTTTATTATTATCTTTATCACCCACCAAATTGATATACTTGTTTGAAAACAACATACACACTGAGAGAAAAGTAAACAAAAGCCAAATTTCTTGTTTCTAGGCCAAAAAAACGCTTTCTGATTCTGATGCTGGTGTTTTTTGCACAAAACTCTGCCTGTGCTGTGCATAGGAAATTGAATCTATGGATTCAAAGGGGAGAGAATGATGTCTGACCTCCTCTGCATTATCTGGGAGCACAAGCAGTGTACCTGGATGACCTCATGCTTCGGTGTTTCGTGGCTGAGGAGAAGCAGAAGCAATGTTACCCAAAATCACTCTGAGCAATGGGCTGAGGTCATAGTGAGATAGGGCTTTGTGGAAACACTGATGCTCACGATAACATGGAAAGTACTCCCAGAGGAACCCCAAAAAGCAGGATAGTAAAATCTCTCATGGCGGTCCGACAGGAGAGCAGACTTATTGGCAGCTTTTTGTGTTTAGTAGAGATGATATGGAGACAGAATTGGGATTTCCTCTAATCTTACTTCAGGTGATTCACAATAAAATATATCTTATTATTAAGCCGGTGGTATGCCTGAACTTTCTCGTGGTGAATTTATGAAATGCAGGTGGTTCTGAAACAGGAGGAGAGGAAAAGGCATTTCTTGAGTTTGCAGTGATCTTTTAGCATACCTATTTTCCCTGGTCACTGCCTTGTAAAACTTTTAACGTGCTTCCTACTAAATGACATCATGATCCAGCTCATTTAAATGATGTAATGGCAACCTGCAGGATAGAAAGTGTTTAGTTACCAATCTCAGCAACTATCCTTTCTTAAATATGTTGAACAGTTGAACCTGTACAAGTTTTTAATCATGTAAAAAATGTGTCTTTTAAAAACAGAGTCTTATCGCATTGCTCTGTATAAAAAAATGGCTTTAAGTTGTGACTACCCAATTTGGAAATATTATCCTCAGTCTGAGTTATCAGGATAGGATTTCATTTAAATTTGTCTTGATTTGTAAAGTCAGAAATTCAGCAACTTTAAAGAGCAGTGAAAAAAGATAAAACATGACATGAGTGAAAAGTGATCTACATTATTTGTGGGACTGGGTCCCACTTGCCTGACTCACCAGTGATGTGTTAAAGCAGGGCAGCATTTATATGGTGCTCCAATACTGTTAGTTCAGCTGCAATGTTCTGACAACACAGTAAGTCCAAATATCCAATTCAGTCTGTCCTTCGCTGTGGACATCATTGTAATTGGTGAAAAAATTTAAGCTTTGGCTTAGGATATGTTAAACATTTTTTTTTTTTTAATTTAAGATCTCTAGCACAGTTGCCATATGCACTTATGCTAAGTGTGCCAGCTAACAAAAATACATATTTAATAACTGGCAACAGAAGGCTGAGTGGGTGTGTGTGGCTATCCTAAAATAACAAATCACTTCCATGCTAATCATTTGAAAGTGGCTTGATTATAAGACCGTGATCTGATACTTGGGTGTGGACCAGGATAGTTCTACCCAGAAGAGCTCAGTTCCATTTCATTAACAATGCATCATTTTCTTTAAATCTTTGTTTTGTTTCAGACTGAAGTGATGAAAGAGGCTCTAAAGGATCTAAATTTGAACATAGTGGAAATGACGGATGAGAATGCAACCCTGGATGGAGGAGACGTTCTGTTTACAGGTGGGTTTTATTTGCAATCTGACTACTTATGGATTTTCATCTGAGGCTTTTCTTCTGTGCTTAACTTTGTCTAATTATGGTTGACTCATAAGTCATCAAGGTCTGTTGTAATCTAATTACTGTAAATATAAACTTGATCCAATAAAAGCATGTCCTATCCCTTTGATTTAGGGAAGATTATGGTGAAAAAAGGTTTATGAGAAAGTGTTTTAAAAGTGACTTGCTCAGCTGTTATTGCTTGAAATATTTTAAGACAGTATGATGAATAAATTTCTTGTAGGATAAATGTTTGACTTTCACGTATAGTGCACCTTACTGTTAGTTAACATTCTGGTGCTTCATTATTTTTAGAGTAAGATGCATTAAATTAAGAAGAAGGCATTTGGATTTCATTCATGTCCACTTTAGTACACAATAGCTCAGATGAGCATTGCTTTTCATGTTGTAAGCAAATATATTTCACTTTATTTAAAATGAATGCCTTTAGTTACATTTTTCTGCAAGACACCTGCGGAGAAAATATACATCACTTTGATCTCAAGAAAGTAAAAGTATAAATGGCAAGTAAACAGGAAATTGCAGAAATTGATGAAATGAAAGAGCTCCTGTGTTCCATATGCGAGCAGACGAGTCAGTGCCTTTGAGCATGTCTCTGTGTTTTTCGATTCTCTAGCAAAACATTCCTATGTGTGACCTCCATGACCTCATGCCCCTGTACACACCGGAGTTTCATCTGTAGTAAAACTGTTTTGTACCATCCTGCTGATCACCACAACTCACCACAGCTGTTAAATGTGTTAGACAGCAGCCAACAAAACCGATGAACACGCTCAAATCAGAAACATGGTGGTCTACATTACACTCAGAACATTGTGTTACACTCCATGGCAATGTAAAATGTGGGTCAGTGGCATCTTCACTGCATGAGCCAGATGGAAAAAGTACAGTACACTTAATTGAGTTTCTAGACATTGGCTCTGTGGTGTCTTTCTTTTCAGCTGAAATCGGTTTCACATGGTAGGGTAAGAAACATTTCCTGCTGGCAGGGCCCAGACTAATGGCTCATATTGTAAAGGCTCAGCAGCAACATAAGGAACCCGTCCCTGAGCTCAGTGTGCGGCTGCATTCTTGCAGAGAGATTCAAGGATTTTTTAAATATATATTTCCCACTATGTCTCCTAATTTTTACGACTGAATGTAGTGAAAATTTAAGTGGTAAAACTGCCTGATTTGTTGACTGTCTCTACTGACTTTGCAAAATTCTAATTTTGAGATGTTTTTTTTTTTATCCAGGTCGAGAATTCTTTGTTGGTCTTTCTAAACGGACAAATCAGAGAGGAGCAGAGATCCTAGCTGATGCATTTAAGGTGAGTTTATCTTATATGTCCATTAAAACATTTAGCATACCTTCTTATTCATTAATGGAGCACAAAGCCAACATGAGTTGAGACATAACCATGTACACACACACATCTTGGGGCAACCTAAAGTCATCATTTACCCTTAAATACATGTGCTTTACATTGCGGGAGTAAACTGAAGCACCAGGAGAAAACATACATGTGTCTGAACCAACTCCATTATTGGCCCCTTAGGAGCCAGATGCATTTAAATAAACTGAGTAATGTAAGAGAGGAGCTCCATTACATTACATCCCTGGCTCGCTTGTAAATTGATGTTTTAAAGGCCTGAAGGGAAAAGTGAAGCCTGAAACCTTTGACTTGATTGGTTGGTGAATCTTAAAAAAGTCTGTTTTCAGTCAAGTCGCATTGTGCAAAGTCGAACATAGTTTTTTTTTTTTTCTGTTGTTGCTGCTTAGCATCATTGAAGCTGATGTTACTGATTGACACATCTGCAAAGAGTCCCTTTGGTAATTATCTTTTAATGCTTTGGATGAAGCCTTAGCAGGCTTCAAAGCATTTTTAATCAACATTTGATGCAAAGTTTTGCCAGTTTTGTCCACAGTGATTAATATAGCAGACAATAAAAAAGATTGAAAAAGCTGATGTGAAGGAGCAAACCTTGCATTAATTACCTTATGAACAATTTCCTCTTATGTCATTATTACTATAAATCATCTTGTTTACTCTTGGCTGCTGTGTTGCTAACGTGTTTAGATGTGCCACTTAAGCAGATGTTTCTCCCTAGGCGCCGATGACTCATATTTGTAATTTGAAGCTATAATTTGGGTTCATAAGCAAGTGCAACATGTGTCAAAATTATGCTTTCGATCATCACGGCTCTTTATGTGATATTGCGATAACACATGCAATATCACGATATTGCATAACACATGCAATCTAACTTATGCTGGCACAATTGCACATGTAGGCAGGGATAGACTGGTACGTATCTCAGTTAGTCATTGGGTGAGAGGTAAGGTTCACTCTGGACAAATTTACCCACCAGCAGTCAGTCAGTAAATTTGACTGACTGCTGTGGGAAACTAGAGTAGCCTGAGAGAACCCATGCAGGCACAAGAAGAACATGCAAACTCCATACAGAAAGACCCCAGGCTGGAATTTGAACTTGTAGCTTCAAGGCAACATTGCTGACAGCTGCATCACTGTGAAGCCCCATATAATCAGCCAGTGTTTCTAAGTATTTAAGGTAATAATTGTCCAACCTCTTGGAGTTATCTGCACAACTTAATGACAGAGTGGATCAACATATAAAACAAATACCACATTTATTCTATTTTTCAATGCATGGCATATTTGAGCATCTTAGTAACTTCAAGACATCTAAAATATGTTATTGCACAGAAAGTGGGGCCATACACTGAGTTGTGGAGTCTGATTTGATGGCTCAAACATCAGTTTGTGGTAAGTAAAGGAGCAACACCTCTATTGCCATGATTTTACCTGTTTTGTAGAAATTTGGTCTCAGTCTTTTCAGTGAGTGCTTGCACACAATAGTTTCAGCTTATTTTTGTTTGGCTTGATAATTATACCATGCTCACTAAAACCTAAATCTAACAGCTCTGAAAATATGACAAGTATTTCTGCAACAGCAAGATTTATTTCAAACTGGATTAAAGGCATGCCGCCTGACTGATCTAATCCATCTCCTTTGCTGTCGGTATAAATTAGAGACACTTTCCGCGGCAATCTTTTGTTCATCGCATTTGGCCTCTCTCCGAGAAGGTGTAGCAAAGCCGAGAAGCACGCTGACAGGCAGATTCAGCGCTGGGTCATAATGTCAAGAGTTCAGCACTTTACGGTAACTTGAACTGCCTTATTCTCCTCTTGTCCCATCTGTATCTGATTTGAGGACCTCATTACGGATTCCTCTGTGTTTTCTGTTATCTTTGATAAGATGGGACTAAATGATGCGTTCATGGCAAATAACAAAAAGGAAAAATTACTTAGCCATCAATTATTGTTTTTTCCACTTTTTATCTGATTGCTCCATCCAATCAATGTTGGTTTTTCCTTTAATTATCAAATGAAGGATCATTCTGTTTCCAGGTTTGTTTAGTGCTACACAACTGCATGCAGATGTGAGGGCTCTTTGCTTTAAGGTTCTTACAGATGTTGGGATAATGGTGTTGCTGATGGAATCAATTTGTTTGGGAAGTATAGTGCTGAGGTTAAATTATATTTTCTTCTATTTCCATGTTGTAAAAGTGTTGATTTCTTATTTGGGATACAAGGAACTGTCTGACTTTTTTCCTAAGTAGTAAATAGAGTCTTTTAGTTCAAAGTATGAAAGTATCTCACTCCAGATGAAAAGGAACTGTTTCTGCTTCTTTATCACATTTATCTTGACAAGAGAAGAAGAATGGCTTCCATTTCTAATTTCACACAGACACTTCCTGTTTGTGGATAAGGAATGGAGAAAGAACATCCTGTAATTTCCATTGGTTCCCAGTTGAACCTATCAGCACACTCAAAAAAAATAGTTCAGGAGTATATCAGACATGGCATTTTTTTGGCATGACGGAGTACAAAGTGCCATACTACAGTTCGTTTTTAGCGACAAATAGATGCATTGTGCTTATTTGAACTTACAATGTGCTTACACAGGAATTTACAAGATGCCACAGACAAATTTCACAATGGAAACTCACAGGAAAACATAATGTTTATAAGTTGTAAATCTATTAATTCAAAAATATTATAGCTATGACTTCAGATATTTTCCAAAAAAAATTGTCCAGTCAAATACTGCATTCAGCGAAGATTTACAATATTCAAGAAGTCTACGTTCAACATTCAAAAAGAAATTTCCATCATGATTTGTCAGGATGTGGCTTCTCAAATAAAGTTGATGTTGGAAATATAATGTTTTCACAGGTTATGCAGTAAATTTTATAAGCGCAAGTCACTTTATATCTGTTGTTTGAGGCAATCTGTCCAAGATCAACAGCCAAAGGCTTAAGATAAACATGAATCTGTAGGTCCCACAATCCCACAACCTCTGAAATAATTCTGTTACATAGGGGATGTATTCAAAGTAGTTGATTTGAATACATGCTGCGAAAAATTTTGAGAGATTTTAATTCCAAAAAAGTTTATATTCAGCATCATCTTGTAAAAACTTATTAGTAGTGTTGTACAGTAGTGTGCTGATTCAGGTTTCTGTTCAGGTTTAGCATTTTCTCTCTTTTCACAAGACTGAATTCAGCATTCTGTTCATCCACAAGTCACAAGTCTGTTCATCCACTATTTGGTTAAACATGTTCTTCTGCCAGTTTTGTATCCACTGATTAAAGATATGAAAAAAAAGAACCACAGTGGCATCATTTTTGACAGAAAATAAAATATCTAAATCCAAATTTAAGTACATGTGCTCAATGTGGAATCTTAAGAAATAGTTGTTTATACTATAATCACAGATTCCACTGCTGGCACCCTTTATAATTATAAAACAAATGTAAACAGTACTATTCATTGTAATTAATGTGTTCCATTCCGACTTGTTCTGATGTTTTTTTTTTTCACAAAAAAGACAGTTTCCCACCTTCATTCTTTACTTACAGACTTGAATAGTTTTTACCTTCAAACACGCTAGACAGATGGAAATAAACCTTTGTCGGTTTCTGCTGTGAAAATACAGTTTTATGTAACCTTTGTTTTTGTAACAATAGTAATGACAGCATTTGGAAAGCCGACTTCCTGCAGCCAGAGAAAGTGGCTTGAATCAAGTGCTTACAAGTCCTGTGTAATCTTCTCGAGAGCATAAGGCTCAGTGATATCACCTCTCAGACACTTCTGCAGTTTCCACCCCTAAATGGTGTTACTTTATTTTAAATGTGCCCTCTCGAGAGCCTTAAACACTGTTATTATTTTTATTATTATAGAGGAATCAGTTGTCTTCACCTTGATTTCTTTCAAGCCTTGAATTTCTAAAACGCTATTACAATAATAATTTTTTTTGAAAAATGCCTTTGTCGAATGTTCTCAACCTTATACAGCCAAGGTTATTTTACCAGGATTACATTTTTGGTGAAGATGTTAGTCAGCAGGTGGAAAGGCACACTTCTGAAAAATATTTTCACATCACTGGTCCTATGTTTGATCCTGAAATCCGCAGAGATTACTGAAATCATTTCCATCCTGTATGCATCCTGAGCTCTTGGGACTTATTTTGTTTAGCTCCTATAATTGGATTGTGTTTCACAGGACTATGCTGTTTCCACTGTGCCTGTGCTGGAGGGGTTGCACCTGAAGAGCTTCTGCAGCATGGGAGGACCAGGGCTTATCATCATCGGCTCCAGTGAACCAGCTCAGAAGACTCTTAAAGTAGGCTGCTGCTTATTCTACAACGCCAGTCTTGACACAAGTTGACAGATTGAACCTCTTTATAACGTTATACCTTGATGGCACCCTCTTACTGCAAAATGCATTGTCCCTTTAATCCCTCTGCATTAATTCATATTCTCTGCTAATTTGCAGGGAATGCCTCTGGCATTTGCTCTCCAGCTTTAATTACAAAGGTTTTGTCCTCCCATTACACAGCTTGAGCTCATTACTGCATGAAAGGCTTCTAAATGGAAATTCACAGGATGTTGGGCGTCCAGACAAGAGACAGCTTACAGCCTGACAGAGACAGATTGGTGGGTTACACCAAGAGAGTACTAAATCTCAGCACATCCCGGCTCGAGAACTATCCCAAAAATTCACAACCATCTGCAAGTCAGTTATTTTTTCTTGCTACACTGAAGTGAAGGTCACACACACACACTCACACACACACGTTGATTCTCTAATTCTTTAAGTCCAAAAACATACACACTAGATCATACAGTACAGTCTTGGCGTTTTCCTGTCCTGTGTGACAGCTCTTCTCCACTGTTGCTTTTAGAGTCAGAACTCCCCCTACAGGTCAAGCACATCATTTCTATTGCGTAAAATACTCATTTGGTATATCTCTGCCAAAGTGTACACAAGAATAAAAGAATCTGTGAATAAGTACATAAGCTAATTACATTTATTTTCCAGCTCCAACGCATTAAGACTCCTGGCTGTTTGATCACCCGCAGTAATTAGCTGCTGGAATGAGGAGTGGCCTTTAGCAATACTTAATGAAAGAGGGTTCGCTTGGTAATTATGGCTTACGTCACCCTCTCTTGCAACAATTAGCTTCTGTTTTAAAGGACTTTTAGCACACCAGTATCTGCAGTTAGGTGATATGTCTGTGAGGAGAGGGCGCTCTTCTGAATGCAGCTTTAATAAATTTGGACTGCTTGTTTTGGATATTGATACTGGTCTCATGACAGTACATGTCTTCCTCTGCATACTTATGAAACAAATCTGAAGCTCAATGGATTCAGTTGTTTCCATCGAGAAAGAAAATGTTAAATGGAAAGTTCCACTTAAACCTTCTCACATTTTGTGCCTTTTAAAACACAAACTAGTGATTTTTTTACTGGCATTTTATGCCACAGATCTACTGAGAGTGTTGCATGTGAAGTGTAAGAAGAGTTTTTTTCTAAAATGATGTCTTCTTTCCAAGATCATTTGGATTTAATGGACAATATTTTGCATTGCAATTTTTAAAACTTGCTCTAAATCAGTGGTTCCCAAACTGTTGGGTTTGTCGTTAGATTTTGGTCTGGACTTTGACTGAGCTGTCCTGTTGTCCTGCCAGGAGATATGGTTCAACTGTAGTCTTGCGTTTTTTTCAGCTTCTATCCAGCTGCCTTCTGTGTTTAAAATGTATTTGTCCCCATCTTTTTCTCATCAATGCTGACAGTAACATGTCTTGTGGGTTCATTTTTGTGTGATGGGTTGAACAGCCCTTCGTGTCATAGGCAGGGTAACAGTCTAACTTCTGTCTGCACGATGCTGTTTGTTCACTTTATAGATTTTTTCCCCCCTTGTTTTACGCTTTTCTTCCACAAAAGATTAAGAGAATTAAATTTACCTCTTATATATTTTGATAAGTATCTATTTTTAAAAATAAATTTTCAAGAACCACCATTTTATTTTACTAAAAAACATGTCAAACATTGACATGTTTTTTTTCTAAATGGACATTTACATGTCATTTACATACATTTTATTTTTTAGGATATTTATATGTGGAAAATTATGTAAGGTTTTCAGTCTCATGACAAGAAAAATAGGCAGCAATATACTGCTTGTACTTTTAGTTTTATTCTGTTGTGGGAATTTACTGCATTTATTTTATAAAAAACAACACAAAAACCTATAAAGCCTGCATTTTATTAATATTTATCTTTAAAAACATTATTTGCCTCTATAATTTGCCACAAGTAGCAGATCCCTGGTCTAGTGTATAAAATCCCTGAAATTTGTGCCTGAAATGTAAAAGAAATGTGATCAAGTTCATGGGGCATAAAACTTTTGAAAAAACACCGTTGTTTTCAGATGCTTAAATAATCTGATGGCTTTGCTTTTGCCTGTGCAACAGGACTCAGAATTGTGGATCTGTGTTTAACTCTCATAGGAATGGGAGTACACACTGATTGGACTGATTTAGTCATCCATTTGCGGCAGTCAATTCCCAGCTTCACCCAGAAAGTCATCATCCTAAAATACAGCCCCTGTCACAGGCCTCAGCTCCCACTCCCTGTAATCACACATGCACGCTAACCACGCCCTGCAGCAGACTGCCGGCAGGTTTGACATCATCAGTCACCACTTCACATAGCCCTGCTTGATTTATGAGGTCATCCCTTCCCACTGGTCAGCATCTGATGTCTGCCTCAAGGATGCTAACATGCTTCAGTTTTCAGAGATGATGAGATGACCACACACTAAAGATCAGATTGAGTCAAATTGAGTAATTTTTCTATATTTGGTCAACATGACTAAAAGTTTTTTGTTCCTCTGTATTTTCTGGAAACAATATATGTATATATTTAAATGTTAATATTTATGTTTAATGTTTTTTAAGGCCAAGATGTTAATCTGTAAAAGTAGGTACTTTCGTGTGCACAGATTAGAAGAATCCTCTTGCTTTTAGGCAATATAACTATTGTTTCACCACAGCTCCATATAACTGTAGTATTTACCAGAAGGACAGTAACTAAATTTGTTCTTCAGAAAGACAAGTCTAGCATTTTTCCTCAGGATTTTGTTGGAGCCATTAGCAGAATTTACTTCATGTGTTACTGTTGCTTAGTGAAAAGGAGAGTTGTAAAACTTTTAAAGGCACCATGGGAAGTATAAATATTCATACCAGGGTTCAAAATGCAGATTATGCTGATTATCACAGTGGAGGGCATCAGATCCAGTAAATTGTGAGTCTCCTTGTTATCTGCTTGCCAGTTCTTTGCCCAGAAGGGATTTAATTACTTTCCTGTAAATATTTAGATTTACCACCTTTGAATGGGCACTTTATGCTGCCCCAGTAACCACTCTCTGTATTAACTGGATCTAAGCCAGTGTCCAGGCAAGAGTCAATGTTTATTTGCAGGAGACTTGGATGACTATATTGAACTTCAGGCCCAAGGTTTTATTAAATAATTTTTGCCTGGAATTCATTCAACTTCTAAATTATGTGAGTGTAAAATTAACTCTGATTAATAAGGATATGCTATTTGGAACATAATGTGATATTTGGTGAAATCAAGGTTTAGAGCTGTGATTTTAATCCCCCTTTATAAGAGGAAGCAAACCCACTCATGACCTGAGTATTTACCTGGTCTGGTTGCACATATTGAGATATTTTCACACACACTGCCTATACTTAGCAATTTGGAAATTGTTTTAATATCATCAGTTCATTACAGGGTCATAAGTTCCCAGCTTTCAATTCTGTTATATGCATGGAATGTTGCCTTACCTTTTGCTAGTCCATTTCATGAATATTAGATTCCTTATTATTAGTTTTTAGCATTTTTACCCCCAAAATCTTCACTTTAATATAACATTTATTACAGTTTAAGCAAGACTGCTGCCAAACTACCTGTCCTGACTGTGTGAGAAGTGAGTACTGCTGTCAGTCCGTCCTACTTCCTAAGCACTGCAGTGAAGTAAGTCAGAGCAGAGGAGACCCATTCCACTTTGTGTTCACATTGCAAATTAATCGCATAACATCAAAAACACTTGGCAGAGTTAAAAAATCACAGTCAAAATATGAGAAGTCAGGCTGGTGCATGCTGCTAAATTGTCATGTGCTGCTATTCAAAATGCAAATCAGTAGCAAGTATGGCCCCCACATGTTTGTAGAGATTCCAAATGTTTCTGTTGCAGTGTCACGTGCTTCCAAGGTGCAAAGAGATGAAGAGAGAAAAAAAGTATCTCTTGAAGAAAAGGGATATACATCCACAGGTGTTCTGCTCATAAACCTGCTTTACTTCTAGTCATAACATCCGCAACATTCTGACTTTTACTCAGCAATATGACCATCTTCTTTTCCTGGCCCCCAGTTCTTAGCCTCTCATCCCACCTTAAGCTCCTTCTGATTACATAAAAACATGACATCTGCTGAGAAGGAATGTCTGTCTGCTCCTGTGTTCTCCATTAAGCCCCCTCAATCACCCACAGCGGTTTGGCGAGTCAGAGGATGCTGAGCTGCTTTTGGGATTGTGGGCTCGATTCTGAGTCAAGGAATCTGAGTGGAAGTCTGTTTTGTGTTCTGTGTTTCCATACACTGTGTGGACTCTCATATTTACATCAAAATATATGTTTCCTGATCAGATTATGCAGCAAATGAGCGACCATCGCTATGACAAGCTGACGGTGCCAGATGACATTGCTGCCAACTGTGTCTACATGAATCTTCCCAACAAAGGACATGTGCTTCTTCACTGTACAGCGGAGGAGTTTCCAGAGAGTGTGAAGGTGATATTCATCTCAAATCCCATACTTACTTTTTTCTCAAATGCACAATTACACTGTCATCAAGGATGCTAAAGGTAACACCTGCGGTAGGAAGGACCACCATCAGGACAGCCAGATTGGTTTGGCAGCTTAGATTTAAGAAGAGGCTGTCTATGTTACACTTGATCCTCCCCAGACCTCTGAAAAAAACAATTGGCAAGAGAAAGAACCCCTACATGAGCGACATAGGTGTTTTCCTCTGACCACAGTGGGCTTTTTTAAACAAAAGAAGCTGTAATTTTCAGTGAATTGGACTGTTGTGGACCAGGTTCGGACAACTCTAAAACCAGGGAACACCGCAGCGTTTTATCTTCTCCATCAAAACTTGAGTCATTCATTGAGGTGGGTCCAAGTGGATGTTTTCAGTGACAGTGAATCAAACATAATTTTATACACAAAAGAATTTAGTTAAAGTGATTACACTGAACCTTTACATCTTTGTTGAGAGGTGCAGGTTTTTATCATGCCTGTCCTATCCATCTATATACATCCCTTTGTGATGGTCATCATTATAGGTGAGCCCACAGGAGCCCAAAGGAGTGAAACTTTTTGGAAATATGGCTCTCACCCAGGGTACCATGGATAGCTCTGCAGGGATCAATAGTCTTGCTCCCTGGGCAAGTTTTTTATTGCTTGTTTGCAGCCCAGCTGTTACTTAAAATGATTTTTACTCCACTTTGAAGGTCTTTCAGCTGTGTCATTTCTGGTTTGAAATCCTAAATATTTAAATTGAAACCTTAACTTGACTACTCTAAGCTGAAAAATAATTAATTGTTGTTTCAGACAGGTACCACCCAAAATGTTATAAAATGTTAAAAGAGTACATTATGAGAAAATATTTTTCTTGATAACTTTAAGAAAATGTCACATCAAAAAACTATTTTTTGATGTGACAAAAAATAATTTTTTTGTCACATCAAATAATAATCACCCAATAATCACTTTATTGAATGGTACAATTCCAAATGTAAACCTTTTAGTCTGAAATGTCTGCACAGTACTATTATATAAAATTGTAAAAATAACACTGGCCATTTACAAGTGCTTTTATTGTTGAATCATCCATCCATCCATCCATCCATCCATCCATCCATCCATCCATCCATCCATCCATCCATAACCAACCAACCAACCAACCAACCAACCAACCAACCAACCAACCAACCAACCAACCAACCAACCAACCAACCAACCAACCAACCAACCAACCAACCAACCAACCAACCACCAACCAACCAACCAACCAACCAACCACACATTTTCTGGATTGAAGTGAACCAAATTAATTATGTTACCCAGCCAGGTCATCCTTGTGATTTGTGAGCCTCTTCTTCACAAGAAACACCATTTCTACCAAGCTTCCCAATGACCAGAGGAATGCCATTAAAAAAACAATAGAAATATCTTTAAAATTTGTATTTTTTTAATCATCCTTTGTTTAAACCTTAAGAAAATATGCTTGCATAGTCACTTATCAAGAAACATACACAACTGAATGTTTCCCACAAATATATTGCACATAAGCATTAAAGTCTCAAACAGCTTAGATTTAAGGAAAATTGTGTTTCTGACCCATGACACGTATATTCCATGTGGCTGCTTGGCATGAATTATGTGTTATTTTCTCCATTTGTCTGCTGGGTCAGGGAAGACTGAGCAGTAGCTGTGTTATTTTGATTCTTTGGGGAGACTCCAAATCACAACAAGTCATAATGGTTCTCACAAGATCAAACCTGGCAACACACAGTCTGCAGAGACAGTGTTCAAACCTCAAAATGTAATCTGTGGTTTAAGGCCCAATTCTTGCCAGTTATTTTTAGAAGGAGGAATTCACAAAATGATGTGTCTTTGGACCTAAATCCGCAAAGAAGTTTTTTTTTCTTTTTTTTTCCAGGAAGAATGGCTGATGGAATTTAGCTTGAGCATGATAAAATCTATTTGTGTATATAATGCTGCTTGCTTTGGGAGTACCTTTGAACAGTCTATTTGGATAGGTTTGTGAAGAATGTACAGTGCCTTGAAAAAGTATTCCTCCAGAACCTTTTTGCCATCAGCCTCAAACTCCAATAAATTTTACAGTGATTATATTGGTAGACCAACACAAATTAGCACATTACTGAGGGTTCAAAAGGGAACATCTGTGAAGTTGCATAGAATCATAAGGGGAAGTTATGGTATTTAACAATATCCCAAGCTTTGAACCACACCACTACTCAGTTCAATGCAATGATACTACTGTTCAGAAAAGCAGGTAAGAGGCTGATAGAGACTCTGAAGGAGCTGCAAAGTTCCACAACTCAGGTGGCAGAGTTTGTCACAAAGTTGAGACTGAACACAAAGACACACAATGCATTTTTATTTCTAATCATTTCTAAAAACTGTGCATCATTGTTTTTCTCACATTATCCCAAGTCGAGTGGGTCTAGCGTAAAAAATCCTCAAACATTTACATTTGTGGTTTACAATGTCTAAATATAAGCTCAAGGATTAACACACAAGGCACTTTTGCAGATTTGTGAAACTGTTTCAGCTTTGTTTTTCAAGCATACCAAAAACTATTACAAAGTCTATTTTCTGTTCCATATTTTCACATATATAAGATTTTGTAACTTAGGAAAATATATCAATAACACCAGACGCAGTAAAACAGCAGGAACTCCTTAATCAGAGCAGGCTGTCATATTTTGCGCAGTGGGTCTGGAGTTGGTACATGTTTCCCAGGGGAAATTTTTGCTTGCTCTTCCTGTGAGATGTTGAGATTTGTCTACATAATGACCGAGGCACTCTGCAAGACATCTGCCTCCAAACACTCTCTGTCCTGACCTCAGATCTATTTTTAGATGCTCGTGAAGTTACATAAGAGTTCCACACAAACAAAACCAGGGGGTCATGAGAAAATTGGTGGGATATGACAGACTGAAGATCTGGCATTTGAAAGGGTTACCTATGTCTTGGAAGTCCGGAGTTAAATAAATGAAACATACAAAAGCCCCAGTAATTTAGGATCCTAGTGTTTGGGACTATGTCAGCCTGATCCAAAACATAAGTCCTTACCACTGTAATAAGATTTAGCCTTGATATGTTTGAAAAATGGGGAATATGAGGGTGAGCAGGTTCTTTAAACATAAGAAAAGTCATTAATGTGAATTTGTTTCTAAAAGCTATGCAAAGTCTTGACCTTTCCTGAGAGGTCAAGACTTTGCATAGCTTATTTTATTGAATAAGCTAAGGGTAAGACTTTTTGGTGGCAATAAAGTTATTCTCTAAGTTTTTTTTTGACTGAAACTGGAAGTAAGAAAATAAAAAAACCTATCATTAAAATGCCTACTTTTGTGCACAAGAAAATCAAAATGGCAAGATAATAGAAATATCTAAGTATATATATTTAAATATAGACTTTTCAGTTTGGCTGTCTAATGCTACTTAAGTTGTGGAAAGTGCATGCAATTATGTCACTTGGGTGAAGGATGCTTTTAAGCTGTTCAGTCATTGAACAGCCAAATTTAGAGCTGCCTCTGTGTTATCGACAAAAAATGAAGTCTGTTCCCAATGCAGTTTGGACACCCTCATTGTTTACCCTGGTCATGGATGAAATCTTAAAATATCGGGAGAATGGGGTCTGATTTGGAATCTCAGGCTCTGTTTTTTTTTTTTTTTGCCGATGATTTGATTTTGATGCTATTTGAGGATATCAACCATATAGTTGTCCTCACGGAACTATATGGTTGCGATAAGGGTCAGCTCTTTTGCCCTACAGGTTGGTGCTGAGTCTCTTTGCTGAGGAGTTGAGGTATCTTGCAGTATTGTTAGCAGGAATGTAATGGGAGATTAATAGACAGTCATGGGCCTTATTACCAGTCTTCAGGGCTTGGGCTTGGTCTGTTGAGGTAAAGAATGAGCAGAGCCAAATAGGGAAATTTTGTGGTTTATTATGACCGTTTAACAATGAAAAACTGAAAGAATGAGATTTCAGCTAAAAGTGGCTGAAATGTGTTTCCTCCATAGGTTGGGTGGGCTGTAATGAGAGGGAGGGGAACTCCATCATCCAGTGGGAGCTTGCAGTGCAACCTCTGGTCCTCTGTAATGAGTCATTTGAGGTTGTTTGGGCATCCAATCAAGATGCCTCCCATTAGAGATTTCCTGGGCACCTGCCTGTGAGAGCAGACTCTTGGACAGGACTTCCTGAGACCTTGTGGATTTGGAACACCTTGGGTGTTGGGATCCTGCTGATGAGTTGGATAGTTTAAGTAAGGAGAGGATAAGCAAAGTACAATGCATTGATGGGTAGATAGAAAAACAACAAATATTTTTATGGGCGTCTGTATTAAAAAAGGTCAAGAAGTACAGAAGGATGGAAATGTTTGCAAATTTCAATGAACAACTAATACTGCTGAACATTTTAAGCATTTCAGCTAAGTTCGTCATCAGATTCCCGTTGCCATGTAGACATTTTTTTTCAACAGACGGCAGGGATAAATGAGCACAGGCAGAGATTTCCACAGTGTAGTAATTTAGACAACGCACGAAAAAGGAATAATGTAAAAACTGTGTAGGAACATGCATTAACATCATAGTTTCGAACACTACAATACTGTTTGTGAAAGGGGAGTGTCATTGTTTCACTGAGATCTGGCTTATGTTGCTGTATTACACAACATTCTAAGCAGTCATTGTAGTGACGTTAAAGATATCATCTGCATCAACAGAAGCTTTGTTCGCCATATTGCATCACTCCTTATAAGTGTTTTTAGTTGGTCCCCATGGTTGTACTTTAAGGCCTCAGTTGATATCGTTGTGAGGTTGAAGCGAGAGTTTAAAGAGAAAAATGTCCTGGTTTGGAGGTGCAGTAGGAAAACAGTGGTTTTCTGTTGGAAAATGGCCACAGTGTGACACATTACTTTACAAGGGTCTTTTGAGAACGCTGTAATAGTTCTCACTCCATTTTCTTTTCTTTTTTTTTTGTTTGGAGAATTTGCTTAGAGACGAGAAAATGTTTAGAGCAGTTCTCTTGCTTAATATTTTGCCTCTCTCCCCTGGGATCTATGCCACCGAAAGCAATTTAACATAAATAATTTAATTTTATATGTAAAGTTCATACCGGTTAATGCTAGAAATGATTGGTAGAAGCAGTAATTAATTTATTTATATAAAATAAAGCTGAAGCTACAATGAGTATTAGTTTGTTAATACTAGCAAAAGTGTATTTTGCACATTTGTCTGTGGCAGTTATATGTTCCTCAGACATATATCAGTATGATGTGCATTATTTTTAATTTGAGAAATATTGCAAACACAAATAAGTAACTTCTTGGTTTCTTTTTTCTCTGTCCTGTTTTCATCTAAACTACATATGTTTGGGATTTGTCCTGTAATCGGTGGATTGCTGGTTCAAACCAGCCTTTCAGTCCTTGTTTCCTGGCTATGATGCTTTACTTGCTAACCCTAACCCTAACTCTACCCTCAGTGAAAAAAAAAAAATTGGGGTGCACCCTGGACACGTTTTCAGACCATCACAGCAATTTAGAGAAAGAGATAAATCTAACATGCAAACTTTTGGACTGTGGGAGCAACTCAGAGAACCTGAAGAGAACGTGAAGTGTAGTTTCTACTAGAAATGTGGTAATGTAAAAATTTCCCTTGGTAACGCAACTCTTGAATCACCACAATCGCCTGTGGCAATAGCTGTCATGTCTTGCAAGCTTGTTAAGGCTAGAATTTTTGCAGTATTCAAATTTTATATATTTATTAAGCTATTTAGCGTTTCTGAAATGAGACAAATGCACAAGATTTCAAGATAGGGTTGTAAAAATCTGCTTTATAGCTTGATTCACTCTGAGTTCAAGTTTTCAACCTGACTATCTGGCAAGATCTTCTAATTATTTCTACTAACTTGGATCATCCAGATACCTTTTTTTTAATGCAGCTGAGCCACTGACTGAAATCCCACTTTTAAAGGACTGGGTCAGAAAAGTAATGAACAGAGTCAAATTCAGAAGACATGTTTTCCAATTGCACTAGATTGAATGTTGCATACATTTTCTAAATATCTTGTAAACACAAAAATAGGATTAAATATCTGTGCTGATACTCTTGTCTTTGTATCTTGCAGGTGTTTGAAAAGCTGAAAGACCACATGCTGATTCCTGTGTCCAATATGGAGAAAGTTAAAGTGGATGGAGCTCTCACATGCTGCTCTGTGCTCATCAGCAAGAATCCAAACAACTGAGCATGTTGAAAAGTGATCTTTCAGTGCATGGTAATCAAGCACTGCAGCTGGTATACAGCTTAATGTCGAACTAAAAGAGCAAGTTAGAAGAGAGATGAGCTCTTTCAGTGTTTTTTATTACATAAAATCTAAAGGGAACCATCAGGTCATCTCTCCAGTACACTGAAATTACAATAAGACTAGTTAAAATGTGAGAGTAGTTTAGATGATAACATAAAGTATCAGGTTACTAACGTCTTTTTAAAAAAAATCAGGATTAATAATCGAGCTATTTTGCCCTAAAATTGAAAACTGACAGTGTTCAATATGTAAAAAGTGAACAAAAGGACCAAAACAACTGTTACTCATAATGTTAGATATTATTTAAAATCAGTAGAGGAATGTGTAATGTTGATTTACATCCTTGAACCATATGAGGATTCTGACTAATCTGTGAACATCTGTGAACATCATTCAGTGTTTATGATCCTTAAAGAGGACCTCAATGAAATTAACACAGATTCAATAGATTCCCATTTTGTCATTGTAAGATGAAATATTAATAACATTGTTCTGCAGATCTAAACGGAGATGTGTATAGAGTTAGCTCATATTGTTTACATGCACCATTTTGACTGTGATTTACCTTTTGTGTGCTCTTGTGCCTACATAGTGTGAGTAAACTTACATTTTTAGAGAAATGTATTCTGGATCAACATCAAAGAAAGCAGTTCAACTAGAACTGTCACCTAAACCATAGTTTCACTTTTATTACCAATTCAAAGCAAAATTCTGACTGTTTCCATACACTTGGTGCTGAATCTAATTCTGAAAATACATCAATGTAGCAAAAAGCTTGAAACATCTTCTGGTATGATTGTAATCTTATTTTTTTTTAATCCATTCTTGTTTTGATGTTTAAATTTCTGTCCCACAGAATTTATTATCACTTTTACTTTTAGTAACTCTTGCTTAAACAAATCACTTATTAAAATCCAGTTTGCTATGTAGTACTACACAACCACCAACAGATACAGCATGTTTGTGGCAAAAAAAAAAAAGATTAATTAAAATATACAACCATGCAAAGATCATGAATGTAGTGCCTTGCATATGAAATCACACACATTCAACTTTTTTTCACATTTTAGTCATGTTACAACCACAGATCAATATCTGTGAATTTCACTGGGTTTTTATGTGATAGACCAACAGAAATCAGTGCATATTTGTGAAGTGGAAGAAAATTACACAGTTTTAATTTTTTTAAAGTACAACTTTGAAGAGTTGCATTTATTAGTATTGAACCTTCTTAACTGTGATCCATCTAAATGGCAACCACTGCAACCAATTGCCTTTAGAAGTCAACTAATTAGTTAATAGTACCAATTTTGTGGGATTGAACTTCTATATTAATGCAGTTATTCCTTAAAGTCCCTGATCAAACAATCATGAAAACGAAAAAACACAATTATTTTGTTGTGCCATAAAATGCTGAAAAGTTTAATGGAGGGTTAGATTATACAACCCTATGCCAACCTTTGAAAACTATCTTTTTTGAAGATGAACAAACAATTTCCACTTTGAAACAAGGTGTTGGCATCATCATACTAAGTGTTGCTTTTTATCATCTCTTACCAGGAACTGGTACTGGCAATATTGTAAGATGAGCTAACTGGAATAGATACTCATGCATTGCTTTGTGGTAAAATATTACATAAAGTACGAGGTATATACATTAACATTTGTGGTTTTAACATGACAAAATGTAGAAAATACTTTTTAAGGCACTGTATATTTTTATTGAAACCAACACAACCCTCCTTCCTACTTCTGCCAGTGCCTTTGTGGAAAATCAATGACTTTTCTCCCGCTGAACGACTCTGAGGTTGCTGCACTTTCTCCAACATCATTAGTTCTGCCTGTGTTTTTGATTACACTGGATGTTTGTTATTCTTGTTTGGCAGTTTTCCCTTCAGAATCTGATGTATGCCGTCCTGTCAGCACTCTCTGTAGCACAAAATTCAACAGGATCAAATGTGATTGCAGTCAAGAGTTTTCAGAACCAGTTAACCACAGCCATGTGATGAGCTTCCAGTAGAAGCCTACCTAATGTTGTTGCTGCTTAAGTAGCTTCATTTCCGTTGTTGGCGAATTCGTGTTTGAGGCCTGTAAACATGACAACACGATAAATATACACGTGTTCTTTAATAAACCACAACCCTGCATGTCCATCACATCTGAGGCAGCTCTGGTTCTCGATGTGATTGTCTGTGAAAGTTGAGGAAATGACATCATGAGGTGACTCAACCTCCCCCCATAGACATTAGTGTATGGGCAAGTGGGCAGTGATGAAACATGGAAAGAATTCATGTCGGGAGGAAAAGCAGCTTGGGGAGTAAACACTGGCCCTTTTAAATTTTCTTCTTCTATTGCCTGTCTAACTTTGAACACATTCTGTCTCCCACCTTTCTCCTAACGCCTCATGGACAACGTTGGGCTACTTTATGACTGTGACATCATAAGCCCTGGCAGACGCTGCTGATCTGCTGCTGGTGTGATAGAAAACAGTAGTTGGACTGGATAGTTTTCTTCTAATGCCTAAGCTGCATACATAGACTGTAATTAAGAACTAATATGGCTAAATTGCTAAATTATCTAAATTTGGGTACAGATAAAAATATTTTAGAGCTGTTAAAATGTCAAACATGTAGGATTTACATCCACTCCTAGTTGTTAAGGTGTTATTGTTCCATCTCAGGTGTTTTGGTTTTAATTCAAACTGTTGAACTCCTCTATACTTGAGCCTTTTCCTTTTCTTTTATGAATAAATTAACATTAGCTTTCATCTGTGTTGTGAGTCATTTATTAACCTTTGAGTAGAAACTTAAAAAAATAAAATAAAAATAATGGCATCTCAATCCTTATATCTCATATCAGTATGCAAAAAGTTCACAAGATCACAAAGCCTGAGAAAATGGGAGTTTATGATTTCAGATTCAGTCCGTGGTCCCTCCAAGTCCCTCGTTGTCAGCAGATTTCAGCAAGTTGATGTGTGCTGGCACCATGTGGTGTTAAACAAGAACTACAGAACAAAGTGCAAGGTCCCTGCGCAGTGCGCATGATACATGTTTCATACTTTTCCAGATTTACTTTATTTAAAACACCGACAGTATACATTACACATTAACCACAAGAGGAAACCGTATCAGGATATAGCTCAAAGTGCTAACTTTGCATTTACCAAAATTGCCTGATATAATTAAAAAAAACAAAAAAACAACATATAAACACCTGGATTATTATTATAATTATATTACTTCAGTTTTATTTTTCTACACTCATCAAAGATTGTGTAAGATTTTTCTCTCTAAGAACCCTGACAGTCTATTTTTTAAAAAGAAATTTCAAATGTATTATTCTTAAGCATTTACATGTTTATATTGGAGCCATACAAGCTCTGAGGCAATAAAGTAATGGATTACTGTACAGAACAACTAGAAATAGTTAAAAACAAATATTACTATTGTATTGTCCCATATAAAAGAATGTAAAGTTAGATTCTATTATTTGAACTTAATTTTACATGAAAAATATAAGAACTGTTATAATATGTTCAACATAATCCAAAGTACTCTTAAAAACAACTGCATAAAACTGCATAAAAGCATTTATGACAGCGCTTATTGTTACACTGGTTATAATAAACATTTCAAGCTTTTTCTATATATTGATAGTAATGTTTTAACATAAAGCTTCCTTTTAATTTTTACCATCACTTTTCTTGTTTTTGATTCTTTTCTTGTTTTTAATATTTTACTGAAAATATAATGGGACAAACCAGAAAGATGATTTGTTCAAAACTTGATAACTATACTTTGGTGAAACCAGCATCTGTTAATGATGCTCAATTCTCTATGTGAATTGAGCACTTTTTACAGAAAATTTAAGTTGGAAGCACACTTGCGTTGCATGTTTAGTCGAGGGAAAGGTTAGCATAGGGGTTACTTTCATCCCTTCCGACTTTAATATTTTTACTCAAGCTCTCTGTAGACTGAGATAAAGGTAGGTAAGAATGGTTAAAATAGTTGTTGCACGAGCAAGGCTTAAGACAGCGGCAGGTAGTGTAAAGTTTATCTCCTTTCTCAGGATCTTTTCCATCTTTAAACTGCTCATAGACATAACAGTTTTCCTTAAGGCAGAGAATGGACAGATCTTTGTTCAGAGTTACGTAGTCTCTGAGGGTTTCGCTCCCAGAACTTCCATCTGCTTGTTTCTCAATGGAAAAGCTTCCATCAGAGGAGAGGAAGTCAAATTCTTCAGTAGGCTTGTTGAGTTTTGGAAGCTCAGCAGGCATGATCTCCACTACAGAGGAGGTTGTGTCTTCAAAATACAGCTTCAATGTGATTGGAGGATCCTGTAAGGTGAGTAGAGCAACTCGTTTTGAATTAATTTAATCATTCAGCTTAAAATGTATTAATTCTGTTGACATTTATTATACATTTCCATTTGTTTTATGATGAAGTATAAAAAGATGTTTTTCGGGGGGGTTTCCCAGTTTGTTTCCTGGTAACCTTAGGAGTTACTTTTTTGTCTATTTAGTAAGGTATTTGAAATGTCTTTCAAAGTAACTTATAAGTTGCAGGAAAACAACCACTTTGTTTCATAAAAATCAACAGGTTAAGTATCTAAGTCCTGGAGATGACTTTTAAGTTCTGGGAAAGTACACACTATACTATTTTGTGCTACCATTTTGTTTTTAGTTGTTGTTTTGTGTATGATTGCTTATATTTACTTTAAATCCTGTCACTAAATGTTTTACCCATTTCTGCTGGTTGATGTCTGTCAGGAAGCCCTGCAGAACTTTTTCAAGGTTGGGCACTGGTGGCCAAAAACACAGCTTGAGCTTCCTAAAAAAACAAAACAACAAAAATTCATTCATAAGGATGTTTTTTTTCTAATACTTTTCAATTTCTTCAAATAGTAGATCAGTTTCAGAAAATGTATCATTTCTAAATAGTGATATCTGTTTCAAACAGGACATATAATAAATCTATAATTGTTTTTACAACAAAATGAAACGGTTGAAAATAAAAGTACCTGCGATAAAGTAAAACGGTTGTGATGAAGCTGATAGTTATGATCAGGATGGAAACGGAGAAACACCACAGGAGCTGCATGTCTAGAAACAGTAAAACTAAAGTTGGAAATATGCATTTCTACAACTATGTTTTCATTCATGAAGCAAAATTAATTGAAATTACAACCTAATAAAAGCACATTTTATTAGGTTGTGATAGATGAATGATATACAGCTGCATTGTGTATTTGATGAAACTGAAACATTTTCATACTAAACCAATTGAAAAGCTTTTTTTATTTATTATATATATATATATATATATATATATATATATATATATATATATATATATATATATATATATATATATATATATATATATATATATATATATATATGCCACCATGCCTGACAGCTGCTTTGAGGTCTTTCTTTAAATGGTGTTTGCTTCTATATATATATATATATATATATATATATATATATATATATATATATATATATATATATATATATATATATTATTTCAGACTTACCTGTATTATCAGTGATGGTACCTGGGAGGACATCTGACCAGTCACTCCAGTGTCCTGAATAAATCGACCCATCAGGTTTCGCTCTAACTCTTACACTGAACTGGCCTCCTGAAGAAAGACGTACACACGCGCTAGTGTGTCCCTCTTTTGTTATCTGCGGGTAGAAATATAAAAAGTTAATAAATACTTAGCCATACTATTTTTTCTTCATATTTGATGCATGCATTTTCATTTGTTTATGTATTGTTTAAGGTTTTGTGGTACTGCATGAATACAAATCTTTATAGAAACCTTCATTTTACATTAATTTGAATTTTGGTGAGGTGACAATTTCTTTCTTTTGGCGCCATCTTGTGGTATAATAATGGAACTTCCAAGACGGGATTAACGCTAACATTGAGTACAGGGTTAAACAATAGGTCAAAGCATAATGCATATTTTGCTTTTGCCTTTTTTGGATTACCAAGAACAACAAGGCTGTACATGATTGTAGAACCACCATGAAACAAAATAAGAGCCATCATGGTGAGCTCTGAACTTCTACTGCTTTTGTTTTTGTTTCCATATTTACATAAAAAATGATGAATTCAGCAAACCAACCAAAATTTGAGAGGTTTGCCTTTAACTAAAGCTGGGTATTTTTTTACTTGGGTCCTTGTAGTTTCCTTTACTCCTCAATGTTTTTCCGGAAGAAAGAAAAAATATTTAGGGACTCTTCTTATCAGAAGATAAAACTTTGCCCACCATTGTTATTCTCATTGAAAGAGTGACTATTTTGATTTTTAAGCTGTTGATCAGCTCTGCTTTTGTTGGTGGATGTAACTTACCCTGAAATCTTCAACTTCTCTGACCTGAACGTCAACCTCATACACAAGGTGGTTTGACGGAAAGGGTTGAGGAGCTTCCCACTCCAAGCACAACTTGTCGTTAGTCAGTTCTCCTTTCAGATGACTTGGTGGGCCACTTTTAACTGTTAACATGAATCACAAAAGATTATGTAAAAATCTTATGTTTTTGATGAAACATGGCCTGTGAGAAAATCAATAACTAACTGCATTGTTTAAGAAATTGACCTCAATAAAAGATTCCATAAAATTTATTTGTGTACTGTGATGACCTATAGAAATAAAAATATGATTGATTGTCCATGATTGTTTCTCTTACATATACACGAAAGTTGTGCATATGTGTTAGATTTATAAAAATAATATTTATATTCTGTACTTCCTAAAAAGGATTGACCTCATTAACACAACTTCCTGTAAGAACTTGAACTGTTCAAAGTTCTAAACAAAGAAAGTACATCTTAGAGATTTTCTTCAGTGAAGTGTAACTCAGTATCACTCACTGGACTTTTTCAGCTCAATCTCTTCACTGAAGAACAATCGTTTGAGTGGATCTGAGGTGCTGTTGAGCTTGACCTTCATTGCTCCAGACTTATCTCCATGAAAAGAACACGTGTCAGAAAGATTTCCATCATCCTGACACTCCGTCCAGTTCAAAGGTTGACTGTAAGAATTGGAAGACAGCTCATCAAAATAGCAGAAAAACAAATAAAAATCACAACTAACTGTTTTGAAAATATCTCTTTCAAGGCTCAGTATAATATGTCCAGAATTTAAATTATATAAACATCCTATATGCCTGCTTTTTCGTTCCAAAACGCTTTTTTTTATTTTTATTTATTTTTTTTTGTTTATCAAAAAAAGCTGTTACCACCCATGTTTCAATATCTTTAAGAACCACCGCCAACAGCAAAGCTTTATATTGTTTCTATTTGTTTATGTCCCTGTGTTGGCCAACGTTCAACAATTGGACAGATCACCTCACAATTTATTCTAGAGTACTTTCATACAAGGAGAGGTTTGTTGCCATCTTAATAATGTCCCGCAGATTCTCTGCCTGCAGAGCAAAACCAAATCACCATCACCGCCCCACCACCATGCCTGACAGCTGCTTTGAGGTCTTTCTCTTTAAATGGTGTTTGCTTCTCATTATGGCAATCTCTGTTTTGGTCTCGTCTGCAATTATAAACCTAAGTTGTACTGTATTGTTTTTTGTGATAAGTGTTCTCCCTGCACTTTGTCACAACAAGTAATGAAAGCTTACTCCAGGGGTGCCCAACATCGGTCCTCAAGTCCCTTTAGTTCTCTTCCTAGTGGTAGTAGCAACCTTTTCAGCAAGTCAGTGGTTTTCTTAGGCCTTCTAATGGGTCATCATTTGATCCAGGTGCATTAAACCAGAGAGAGAACTGAAACATGCATGATACTTGTCCTCAAGGACCGGCTTTGGGCACCACTGGCTTATTCTTTTTCTATCACAAATATCAGTATTTACATGCTGAGCCCTGCAGAGATTGAACACACCCGCACCACACAGATATATAAGGATATTAGTACCTAGAGCTATAGAAGAGCTTGTAATCATTTTCTGCACCATATTTGGTGCTATTCCAATGACAGGTAACATGTTGCAGGTCAGAGGTGAAGCATACCAGGGAAATATCATCTACAAGGAAAAGGTTGTTATTTTTTAAGCATAAGCATCAGTTGTAAGTGCAGTCATCCAACCAGGCTGTTTTCAATCAGACACACCTGCACTTTGGGGAACTATTGCTCGCACAGGTTTCGACCAGGAACTCCAGTATCCAGGATGTGCATCTGGTCCATTTCCACATTTCACAGAAGCCTGAACCTCAACCTCCTCACCTGGTTCCAGTGAGAGCAGAAAGTTTTTGTCTTTTCCCTGCAAATAAGAAGGATCACTTTAAGTACTTGTCTTGAACTATTACCTTATAGATTGATAAGAAATAAATGGTTCATGTTGGGTCTTTTTATCCTTTCTTCTTTAAAATAGTTAAACTTTCAAAGCTTCCAGGAAGTTTCAGTTTGCTTTATTATTCCCCAGCACATCAATGAATTAATAATAATAAGGTAATAAATAAAGTTGTTTTAAGTGTTCACCAACGTGTTCAGTCAGTCTCTCTCCGATTGCTGAATCATGAACATTGACCTCAACTCAGGGAAAAGCTTCCCTGGCTGCTTTAGATGTGATTTCTTGTGTGAGCTCCAGGATGAGTCAGCAGAGTGTTTTTAGTGTAATTTGTTTTATTCATATATGGATAAAAACTCTAACAATTGTTTTCTGGAGATGCACAGCCGTGGTATCTCTTATCATACCTATGAATGTCAAAGATTTTGTTTCTTATGTGATCTTGAATTTCTTCAGATGACAAAACGAGTAATCTTTTAAAGAGGTTCTATTTAAGTGACTTCTTTCTTTTACTGGTTTGGTTATGATCAAGGCAGGGTGTGATGTCCCAAAAATGGAGTTAATCACAGTTCAATCATGATTTAACAAGGGCAGGAATTACATTATATGCAGGTCCAAGTTAGCTTGCTTTGCTTTTGGCTTTCATTTTTCTTTAGTAAATGTAATATTTGTTTGACTGTTTCATTTTGTTATTTATTCAGGCTGTCTTTTCCTCAAATTGAAATTTATTTGATGATTTGAAATATATGTATATGACAAGAAACTAAACATGGGCAACATCTGTGAGGTGGCTTTACTGAGTACCGTATGGAATAAATTCAATTTAAGCAAAACAAGTATAATATATGTACTCAAAACATACATTACCTCAACTGTTTTTTCCCCAAGTGTCTTGGAAGAATGACGAATTCTATATTCTTGTTTCCATGTGGTTTTTAAATTAGTGTCCAGAGAAATAAGCATTTTTCCCACAGTGTCTCCTGGCTGTAGGGAGACATTGGAGGGGGGATCCAGAAGACCTGCACATAAAATATAGCAAAAATTAAAATTATTTTGCCTAAATCGACCGGAAGTTCTCAAAACCCTTTGACTAATATACATCTAAAGACTAGCATACAGTGTTAATGTTTGTTCATGATTTCACAAGAAAAATTGTATTATGTTAAAAACAAGTTTCTTACAGAGATCCTCCACATAGACTGTCCGTTTGTACAATGTGATGTTTTTGGTCTGATGCACCACTTTCACTTCCGTCCCAACATATATGAAGATATCCATCCGTGGAAATGAACAGACATGCAGGAAAGTTCCGTTTTCTGTTCCAAGGATAGACATCTTACACGTCTTACTTTGGTCCCTTTAGTGATAAATTTGTGTACAAAAGAAGCATGATATATTAGAAAAGAAAGACATTTTTACAGAAAATTCTACACAGATCAAAAACAACTTAAACCAAAATATTTTCAAAAATATGATTTCAAAATCCTCTGCTTTAAAAAAGTTTAATGATCTTTTTAGTTGCAGCAACAAAACAAAACAAACACAGATTGTGGCATACACAATCTCTCATATAGTTTTTTTTCCAAAGTTTTTTTGTACAAAAGCAAGTTTCCATCAGACTCAACCTCCATGTTTGATAGTCGTATGAGATGTTCTGGATTTTAGAAATTTGTGCTGATTTGCAACACATCTCCACTCTCGCATCACTCCTAAAGTCCTGTGGTTATTTTCATAGGTAACTTTTGAAACCTAAGGTGCACTGCGTTACACTTTTCAAAGAAAAAAAGCAATTTCTCTTTTCTCATTATTAAACAAGTGATGTTTTCCAACTTTCCTTATTAGATAAGGCTGACTGCTACAACTAACAGTTGACATTTGGAAAAGGCTGATATTGAAGTTAGATTAATTTTCCTGTGATTCAGAACCGTTTCAGGATTTTCTTACTATTAATATTTTTCAAACTGCAGAATAATGAACCTCTTTGCAGCCCTTTCTTGACTGATGCTATTCTAAAATAAGTAAGTAAGTAAACTTGACCTTTTACAGGTAAGAAACCACAAAGTGCTTTACAAAACAAAAAACAAAGAAGATAAAATTTAACTGGATATATAACAGCATACATGTGACATAAGGGAAAATAAAACTAATTAAAAGCCACTCTGAATAAATGTGTAAAAATAATTTATTTTTAAGAATTATTATTGTTACACATTTACATGCTGTCGTTAACACATACATTGTTTCATATAGCAACAATGCCATGTTGTTTTATTAGGCATAGGTTCACCTAATTTCAAAATTATAAAAAGAGAGAAAAACAAACAAAAACAAAACAATATTATGATCAAAGTCATGAATTTTCTTCCAGAAGTTGGTGAAAGGATGCAGAGATAATTAAACTATTTGGCTGAAGACAACAGGTCCAGAGGGCCCATCTTGTGTACCTGAGGTTTAAACAAGTGTTGCAGAGAAAAACTGGACCATTAAAAACATACCCTCCAACATTATAGAGAAAATTATATGTCCCGTTGTCTGTGGTCTCAAAGAAGCAGGTGAAATCAGCCATTGTTCGAGTGAAACACTTTGGATTTTCTTCATCCTGTATGAGCAAAACATCTGGTACAGAAAAAAAAATATCACATTAATATGATGCATACATGACAGACATAGTTGCCAATGGGAGCCGCTGAAACATCACAATAGTTGGTAATATCCACTTTGGCTGATAGGAGAACACTTTATCTTTGTAACATTTTACAAAGAAAGAAATCTTTGACCATTCATCTTTACACAGTCAAATAATTGAGATGACAAGAGCAGTCTGGTCAATCATTTCTGAGTTGATTTGGTCAAACATTATCTTGTTGAAAGCGGCACTTTCCAGGTAGACCAAAAATGACCTCATGACATTATACAACAGCAAATGGGAAACAAATGGGCTCACAGCATCATAGATACTACACCACGTTTAAAAGTGGGCATGAAGGTCATGTCTACATTCAATATAAAAAAAACATATACAAAAATCATTTTGGTTATTTATTTAAAATGAATTATTGGTGGTGCCAATCAAATGAGGCAAGGAAAAATGTTCCCTTTTAATGTGGGTTTGTTGATCCTCAAGTCAACAGTTCTCCTGGTTGAGCTGCTGGGTTGCTAATTCAGGGAATTACAAATATCCCAGTTTATTTGGTAAGGAAAAAGTGAGGAACTTTACAACTTAGAAAGGAAACGGGTGGCATGATGGCTCTCCCACAGCTAAAGCATTGTTATTATTACTATTATTAACACTGTCATGTTTTCCAGCTTGCTCCATTTCGCTGTTGGTGTAATGAGGACTATAGGGTTAAGTGGAAGGAAATGTAGGTTACTGCATTTCCTTTACAAGCCCTGATTTGTGATAGGAGTCTGTTGGCTCACTTGGGAGTGATAAATTGTTGGATATATCTAACATAAAAAAAATATTTTAAAAAAATAGCAGAAACTGGGTAATTTGACAAAAATAGATAAATCATTAAACTTATTTAGGTGGAACACATTTTTTCACAGAATTTCCTCCCAGCTGAGACTTCAGTGGTAAATCCTGGATAAAAAAGGGTCTTACAGTTGTATATTTGTACCATTGTGCTCTCACACTTACAGAAAATTATATTCCTGTAAAAGTTTCCAGCTTCTGCAAGCTTGAGGAATTAAGATTTTTTTAAGATCTCTTCAATTTTACTGCAAGTGGCAAAACTACAGGGTCTTGCGACAGTTGATGCAGAGTTCTACTAGATCTTAAAGTCAGCATATTGGTCAAAGACACATTTATTACTTTGTTTTGTAACTGATAAATTATTGTTCCACTAACTTCTCATTAGCTGGTCTGAGCTTCCACTGGCTCTTCATTCTGGAAAGAACATTGCTAAGATAACGCCTAATAAGACAACATCAGTACAGGATAAAATATGATGTGCATAGTTCTCATCTTTACTATTTGGAGTTAAAAAGACGCTGTGACACATCTTAGTAATATCTGTAGGCTGAGCCAGACCTCTGTAAGAATACAGTGTCAGATTGTGCAGATGTTATGCAATAAATTTGTGACATTGTAGAGTTTGATAATGGATAAAAATTGAAAAAAGGAAAGATGTTTGAAATAAGTGAAATGTAATTTTATGTACATCTGTCATTCTCTAAATAGAAATGAAACAATTTATAAAAATTTGAGTGTGACATCAAGAATTTATTTTTAGACTTTTAAGGTATCCTTGACAATAGGTGCAGACCAAAAATATCTCAACAAAACTCATTGAGGAGTCTTAAACAAAAATATTTATTTTTCTCCAAATGCAGTGTTGTCATTTCTTGCACCTTTGTCTTCTGCAGATCTTATCTTGTTCTGACAGATATTACTTTAACCTAAATTAAATTAAAAATAAAATTATACACACAGTCTGACAACAAACTTAAAATACACAAAATAAATGTCTCTATGAATTGATAGGCATTTCCAACAAAAAAAAGCGCAGTTAGTATAGCAACAGGGGAAACATAATTTAAATTTCACCTGAACATTTCAACACTGTACACTTACCTTGCTTTGACAAAATACGCTCAATTTCAGCATTGCAGTGCAAGAAGGGCATCAAGTCAAAATGCATCCACAAGCTAAAGAGAAATATCTGCCATATGCAACGCTGAGTCATCATTGACTGAGGTGTTGTGCTTCCAATCCTAATTTAAGCTCAGCTCATATTTGTGTTTGTGTCTACTTCATGTAGTTTTGTCTGGGTGTCTGTGGGTGGGATTTAACAAGTTCAGAAGGGTTGAACTAAAAAGCTCAGCCTAAAACAGGAAGTGGACTTTATCTGTGGTGGAAGCTGACTCCAAAAAAGGCAAAATAGGAGGAGAAATGTACATTGTTTTTTTTTTTTTGTTTGTTTGTTTTTTTTTTCTTCATATTTTTAGGACACTACCACAACAAATGACTGCTGGAGATTCCAATTATTCTGACCTCTGTTGTATATATTTCAAGATATTCTTATTTGTTGTGTTGACCAAAAGATTAATAGGTGAATAATGATAGTTAAGTCACTATAATCTTTAGAAGACTTGGGACTTACCATTTCCCGAAATAATGTACTTTACAATGTAAAGCTCAGTACTTTATAAGCTTTCAAATTTTTTGTTCTACAGTTCATGAGACAGTCGTGCCCTCCTGAAAAAACAAATAAAAAATGTACTCAAAAAGAAAACCATGTGTGCTGATTAACCACATCCTGACCTACTGCACAGCAGCAGTACAGCAGGTTTGGTTTTATTTCTCACGTACAGAGGCAGGCCCCAGTTCTTCATCGCCCTGGCAGTTTTAAATAATATTTAAAACTGCCAGGGCGATGAAGCCTCTGGCGATGAAGCCTCTGGTAGAGGCTCCCAGGCCTCTACCAGAGGCCTGGGAGCTTGAGGGTTCTGCGCAGTATCTTGGCTGTGCCAAGGACTGCTGCACATTTCTGGACTGAGATGTCTGATGTTGTTCCTGGGATCTGTTGTAGCCACTGTTCCAGTTTGGGGGTTACTGCCCCGAGGGCCCCGATGACCACAGGCACCACTGTGGTCTTCACCTTCCAGGCCCTCTCCAGTTCTTCCCTGAGGCCCTGGTATTTCTCCAGTTTCTCGTGCTCCTTTTTCCTGATGTTGCAATCACTTGGTATTGCTACATCTACCACAACGGCTTTCCTCTGATGTTTATCCACTACGACAATGTCTGGTTGGTTCGCCATTACCATTTTGTCTGTCTGGATCTGGAAGTCCCACAGGATCTTAGCTCTGGTGTTCTCTACCACCTTTGGGGGTGTTTCCCACTTTGATCTCGGGGTTTCCAGTCCATATTCTGCACAGATGTTTCTGTACACTATGCCTGCCACTTGGTTGTCGTTCCATGTACGCTTTCCCTGCCAGTATCTTGCACCCTGCTGTTATGTGCTGGACTGTCTCAGGGGCCTCCTTGCACAACCTACACCTTGGGTCTTGTCTGGTGTGGTAGATCTGGGCCTCTATTGCTCTGGTGTTTAGGGCCTGTTCCTGGGCGGCCAGGATGAGAGCCTCTGTGCTGTCCTTGAGTCCAGCTTTTTCCAGCCATTGGTAGGATTTACTGATATCAGCCACTTGGGTTATTTGCTGGTGGTACATCCCATGTAGGGGCTTGTCCTCCCATGATGGTATCTCTGGCACCTCAACCTCCGTTCCCTGTTGTCTGAGACATTCACTGAGCACATTGTCTGTTGAGGCTTTGTCCCTGATGTATTTATGGATCTTAGTTGTTTCGTCCTGGACAGTGGTTCTCACACTCACTAGTCCTCTGCCTCCGTCCTTGCGGCTCGTGTACAGTCTCAGGGTGCTGGATTTGGGATGGAACCCTCCATGCATGGTTAGTAGTTTTCTAGTCTTAATATCTGTGGCTTTTATCTCCTCCTTTGGCCAGCTGATTATTCCAGCAGGGTATCTGATTACTGGCAGGGCATAGCTGTTTATCGCACGGAATATATATATATATATATATATATATATATATATATATATATATATATATATATATATATATATATATATAGTATATATGTTTTTTTGACTCACCGAACATCAAAATGTGTCACTTTTGTGGAAGCCATTGAGGACAGAAAGTTAAAAGTGTCCTGAATACATGTTTATGCTCTAATTTTGTTGTTACAGCAAATAAAAAATATCATATTTAAAAACTACAGAAATCAAATATTAACAATGTGTGGATTATAATTAAATATTGAGTTTGTATCAAAGTAAGTCTACTATAGCAGCTGTTACACCGCTCCCTGTTGTTTACATCTATGCTGTAGTTACACAGTTTTTCTGCTTCTTTCAAAATGTCCGATTTTAAATAAGTTGTCATGGAGGGTCATGGAGGTGGGACCCAAACGGTTGAAAGAATAAAGCTCAGATTGATATCAGTTGAAGCTTCAATTTTAGTGCAACAGAACAGACAAACCACACTAACCACATGAACAATGAAATACATTCTTCACGTCTTTTATTGTTCATGAAATAACTTTTACTGCTTAAATAAGAGTAGAAGTGAGAAAACAATATAAGAGAACTTCTAGACTGGCTAACTAGAGTAGAATATTTATGTTGAATGAAAAGCTAACAAAACAATGATTTTTTAACTATAAACACATTATAGTAAACACTATAATATATTTACAGTCTTTTCCCTGGAGGTGAGTATTCAAAAGAATAAGCTTAACGCTCATAGTTTACTTCCTTAATATATCAACAAACCCACATTAAAAGGGAACAAAATTACATTTTGTGTAATTATCGTTTCATTCGATTAAATATTGAAAAGTTAAATGATCAGTTGTATGTTTTTACCTTTGTGCTAATCTGCATGCATTAATTTTGCATGTCACTGCTGCTGACGCATCTGTATTTCCCCACTGAGGAATAAAAACATGTTTCTATTTCAAATTTTCTATTTCTAAAAGGGACTTTCTCACACTAAGCACTGCTGCCTAAAATGAAACGTCTGCGCAGAAAAACAAAATGGCTGGTGAAAGAAAAAAATCAACAGGTTAAGTATCTACCACAAACTGCTTATATCAGATTTTATCTAAGTTTCTGAATAATAGGTGACACTTCCTAAAATGCAAGGGGTTATCTTGACATGTACTGAACATTTTGTGCTAAAGTATGAACTCCATTTGATTAACATAATATAATCAAGTGTAGGCATACTATTTTATTATTTGAAAGAAGTAAGATGGAACCGGAAGATTTTTATAACACATAATTTACAGCTAAATTGCAATCCTTTCTGACAAAACTTTACAGATGATGGATCTGTTGCTGGCATTGATCAACCAAATAATGGCGGCATCACCAAACACACTGGTAGATACAGCATCTACCAATCATGTTGAGGTTGGTACTCCAGAAAGTTTGTCTTTCAGATCTAACAGTGTTCTTTCAAAGTGCTCTGCAAAAGTTGAAAATGTTTTACATGTTGTCACATTACATCCAGAAAGCAGCGCTTCAGTTTTTCCACATTCTGTTATGATACAGACTTGCTCCAAATTCTATTACATTTACTCAAATTTAGTAAAGTAAATGTAATGTCTACATTATTTTCTTACTTAATACCAAATTAAGGCAATGTGAGAAATTGTTTTTGAGTGTTTTGCCAATTTATTAAAACTAGAAAACCAAAAAAGAATAAGTTACATAAGCATCCAAAGCCCTTGCAGAATACTTTGTCGATCCACCACTTGCAGCAAGTATTTCAGAATACCTCAAGTTTAGCTCTCCTCTGTTTATGCAGTTCTTCCCAACCTCCATCAGGTTGAATGGTAGATATCGGTCAGCCATTTTCAGGCCTCTCCAGTGATGTTCAGTTGGCTTCATGTCTGGACTGGGCCACTTCAGGAGATTCTCAGTCAATCTGAATCATTGAGTATCCTGCTGAAAAATTTATTGCTTACATTGTATTTCTTTGGGGGTTTATGTGATAAAACACTGCAAATTATTCTATTAGTCTCTTGGTATAAAATCTTCATAGAGCTCACATCATTGGGGTCAGAAGTTCACCCAAACTCTAACGTAAAATTTTGAATAATGTGAGCTATAAATAAACCTTGGGCCAATGTTTTCCTCGTATGTTAGAAGCTCCTCAGGAAGCTTGGTCACAGAAACCGTGTTTGACAGACAGCTCTGTGCATGTGGTCGGTTTGTGGAGGAAACCCGGTGACAGATCAGCTCAGTGCAGCTGGGCAGATCAGGATTCCTTTTTCTTTTTTCACGTGTCCTGTTGCAGCATTTCTCACACACCATCTAGAAAAGCTGGTCGTCTTGAAAGCAATTGTTTAAGAACCAATATAAATCCATGACATCCATGCTAACATTTTATTACATGTTTTCTAACAGTACAACATTCAAACTGACAACCACTGCTCACACAACACCCTCCATACATAACGACACCCCACTAAACATGAGTAAAAAGCTTAATTGATTCATCTTTGACTGCTTGAGATTAATCACACACACAGAATCACTGGTGGCAAACTTCCTGGCACCTGCTGTTAACACAACATAAACTGACATGTAATTCTCCAGTAACACTCAACCAGCGTCCTGGATTCTCTTTGCTATCATCCTCAACTCACCCCAAGGTTTTCACCAGGGTTTAGACCTTGGGGCTAAGATAAATGTATTTTCTATTTGATGTTAACTGGGTCATACATTTTCTAATCCTGCTGAGAGATTCAGTTATGATCTCTTTTACATTTGTTGGCAGAGCCCTTTACAGTTAACCTTCACCCCAACTAGTTATGTTTCCAGGGCATTTTGTAGAGGAACAGGCCCACATCATCATAGATCCTCCTTTGTACTTGGCCATAAGGTCTTGCTTTCCCAAATTTTGTTTTTCAAAAGCCTCAATTTTAGTCTCGTTTTCAGATTTTTACCTAACATTCCTCCCAAACTATTGGTTGTCATGTAGAATCCAATAGAATCTTTGAAAACTTGATGACTGCAACCCTCTAATTGTCAACTTTGGGATTTTTTAATTGTACTTTTTTATGTTCTGCTTTCTATATCCATCCTGCTCCTTTGTGTGTAGTTTCAACTTTTAAGAATTCCAGTAAGTGTGGCGACATTGATTTTGTAAAAAAAAACAAAAAAAAAAAAAAACACAAACAGCCCCCCACAAAAAAAGCAAACTCTGAAATGTTTTCCTAATAATCCAGATGTTTTTTTTTTATAATTCTGTATGAGTGTGAGAAAACAAAATACAATTTCATAATAAGGCTTTTTACACAT